TGTGCTCGTCACTAGCTACCATGCTCCAGTTCACTTTGGACGGGTCTCAATTTTTGCTATGCGTGTTCGTAAAAAGTATTCGACCGGCAAGTGACACCATACATCTGAGTTTACCAGCTGAATTTTGCTGCTGCCAGTCGGGCAGTGTTCCTTCAGTTCTTGCCTCATACTGGCGTTCATATTGGCACGCACGCAGTCGCTTTACTGCGCCTCCCTCGCAAGCTTCCCCCCCCCCCCCCCCCCCGTGCGCCGCGTCATTTCTGTGGAGTCGGCTCGATTGCGGGGCCGGCCGAGGTAGCGCTGAAGGGGAGGCGGGTGGCGGGCGCTGCGCCGCACTCTTAACGCGAGGTGCTTTATAATTTCAGTTAATTTAGCGTCGTTAAAAACCCATACGGCCAGCCGTGGCGTTGATTCATGCGCACCGGGCACGGCTGCGGTGATAGCAGGCGGACAATGCGCGGGCACGTGGAGGAGGAGCCCGCGCCACGCGGCCGCCGACCCTTCGGTGCCACCCGGGGGCGGCTTCTGGGAGTACCGCGCTAATGGAAGAGCGATGGCCATGGCAGGTGTCCCACGGCGGCGGTGCAGCCCGCGAGCGGGGACGTCGTGCGTACTTCAGCGCGAAAGGCGCAGCGTCATGCAGTTTCATGTTCATCTGAAGGGAACCTTCAATGATGACGGTCAGCATGTTGTTCAGGGCACTTGTTACGTGCAGAGCTTTGCTTATATATCCAGCTTCCTCCCCAAGCGGGGCGACTGACCATGTGCAGCTCATTTCAACGTGTCGCTGAAGAGACTCACGCAGGCTCCGCCTTCGGTCAAGATGACGTCCAGGTGCGTGTTCATCACATGCCTTACAGCTCCTAAAGATGGACACTGTATTGATTTTGCCACAGAAAACGACAAATATTTGTTCACGATTGAGCTAAACAGACATGACATGGTGTAAAACGTTCAACTGAATGTAGTGTCGGATGATAAAAGGTTGCAGCATTAAAACAAACTAGTGATTAAAGCCATTGACGCATACAATGCGGCACAACCGTTAGTGATTAATGCACATTACACATCTATCCTATGAATGAGAGGCATGCGTCACTGGCGTAGTGTGCACTTAGTAGATTTAAAATTCAACCGACATGCACGTTTACAGTCTCATGCGAAACATGTTTACTTAAAAGCCCATGCATTTGGCAGACGAATGTATTCAACATAAGGAGATTATGGCTTTATTTCAAAGCTTCCGAAGCAGCCTTTAGGGCATCATGTTGTGAAGCCTACATTGTGTGTCTTTCGCCCCTTCATGTCAAACTACAATGAATTTGAATGTCGCACACAATCGCATGCTAAGCAAACAGCGCAGCATAACATCATCATATTATACTCTGAACCGAGAGCACCCGGCGATAAAAAACACCCAGTAGAGACACTCAACACGCATTGAAATCGCCCTGTCACACTGCTCTCAGGACCGCTCACCAAAGACACAGCCGTGGCGGCCTGATATACGCGGACTCCCTGCTCCCGGCGCCCTCTTGCCCGGGCCTGTCTGGCGTCTGTGCGGCCATGCGCCGCCGACATGGCCGCGAAATAAATCACTACATTCCGTGCTACGATGCGATCACAGCTGGAGCGGTGCGCGCCGATTGAGGCCGGTCCGTCAGGCGGCGGCAGGACCGTCGAACGTCGGCCGGGTGGGGTCGGCGCGGGCGCCTGGAGCGCGTGAGGCCGGCCAGCCCACAGACGGGGACGGGGGCGGGGCGCGACCACGGCACGAGCCAAGTCGGGATGTCCGAGCACCGGGTCTGGCCTCACCTCGCTGGCGTCAGCGCATGGCCGGGGGACGTCCGCTGCCGGCGGTCCCCGGATACACGACCGCCACCTAAGGAGCGTGTGGGCTCACACCCTCTGCCGGAGCACCGTCCCCGACAATGTCCGACCCGGACCCGGGTGAGTGGCGACTCTGTGCTCTCCCGCCTGCTCCCCGCACGGTGTCCAGCGTGTCCGCCGGCCGCGCGTGCCCTCGCCGCGGGGCAGCTGCGCCTCTTGTGTCCGGGCGCGGAGCACGACCCCTCCCCTGGCGGGCGCCACGGGTGGCCTCAGGTGTCGTCCGGACCTGGACACGCACGGCAGCGCTGTTACTGCGGGTCGATCTCGACGGAGGGCACGGTAGCTGCTTTGAAGGGGTAAGTCCGACGGTGAAATGGTAGAATTGATCGTGCAGCGGCGCAATAGGTAGGGCTCAGAAAATGAGAATACATGATACGCATGAATTTATCCGTTCGACACTTTCGGCAAAGGTGAATTTAAACTTAAAGGCGACAATCACATAGCACTTAAGCCACAGTCGCCCTTCTTCCTGAGCGAGATTTGGTACTGGCACGGAATGAAGCTGAGTTGTTACCTTGCGGTTTACCGCTGACACATGAAACAAACGGGAAGAAATTCTGTAGATTTTATAGCACGGTGTGGTTATCTCCATTTCCCTCACACCGCAAGACACTTGCGGTTTTCACCTGCAAGATGTGACGGGACAAGGCGAGAAGAAATTCGGAGGCTTGAAAAGTGTCATTGTATGTGTACCAGCAGCCTACGCAGCTTTTTCAGGCGTTCACAAAGAAATTTTGTGCACAGGTGTCCCGCCTCGCATCCTCAACCCAGAAGCATTTTCATGTCTTCGGGCTGACCCGGAACAACCCCATTTACATTCGACAGTGGGGGGGGGGGGGCTTGTTGCATCACGCAAGGTCGGCAGTATGGCCTCTTCGCAGCTTATGCCTCGCCTCATGGATAGGAATGCTTGTCTCAGCCCGTGGAAATTCACGGAGAACCGCTGAACACGGTTTGACGGGAAGCCGAGTCTGCACTGCTCGTTCCTCTGAACGCATGTCTCTTAGTTTTGTTCGGGCTCGTGCTAGTCACAACGTCGCAAGTCGCATTCCCCCAATAGCCCTCTGCTTTTAATGTCTTTTGCTCGCAAGCCAGGACCGTCTGGTCTGCTGAAGCACCATCACAGCTATACAGATCTACCACGAGCAATTTGTCTCTTACTGCGTCGGGGACCACTTTCCAGAAACTATGCAACTAATTGGCTCACCCGGTCTCATCTCGTGTAAAGCTTCATGCTTCCAAATGGAATCGTAATGAGATCATTAACGGTTCTACGACCTTCCAGGACTCATTGACGTCATAAACTGTGATCCATATTCATCCTACAGGGCCCCACACATCTTTGGTCATATTATCACCCCGGTCGACTAACAGCTAGTTCACATTTTGAGCATCTCCCATTGGTTCACCAACACGCTTGCTTCTTTCACTGCAGCGTTCCGCACTGCTTCCCTTCTCAGCCGATTCCCTCCCAACTCTCCCATCCCTTTAACTCCCTCGTGAGCAGGCGTCATCTCGCCCTTTGTTTCCAACAGCCAGAATATCACACGACATTTGCCGAATCATTTATTCGTAATTTACCCGCTTACCACGAGAGCTCTCGCTTTCCCTCTGCCCGGTTTTCAGACGCGCTGGTATGAAGCTTATTCCCTCGGACATCCTCACACCCCACCAGACTGCGAGGGAACAAAGTCGCCCCACTCACCTGCCCGATACCTGCTCACTACGTCAGATCACTAGATACCCCGTCACCCGCTCAACGCCATTCATCTCTGAAACACTCGCTTAGCACGCGCAGTTCCGCCCCGCCGCTCACTTGACACCAGCGCACCATATCACTCACTAGGTACCAGCTCACTTCACTACTCACCAGGCACCAGCGCACCATATCACTCACTAGGTACCAGCTCACTTCACTACTCACCAGACACCAGCGCACCATATCACTCACTAGGATACCAGCTCACTTCACTACTCACCAGACACCAGCGCACCATATCACTCACTAGATACCAGCTCACTACACTACTCACCAGACACCAGCGCACCATATCACTCACTAGATACCAGCTCACTTCACTACTCACCAGACACCAGCGCACCATATCACTCACTAGATACCAGCTCACTTCACTACTCACCAGACACCAGTGCGCCATATCACTCACTAGATACCAGCTCACTTCACGGCCCACCAGGCACCAGCGCTCCACATCACTCACTAGACTCCAGCTCACCACTCCACTCACCAGACACCAGCGCACCACATCACTCACTAGACACCAGCTCAACACACCACTCACCCGACACCAACGCATCACATCACTCACTAGGCGCCAGCTGACCACACCACTCATCAGACACCAGGTCACCACATCGCTCACCAGACGCCAGCTCACCACACCACTGATCACACACCGGCTCACCACACCACTCATCATACACCATCTCACCACACCACCCACCAGACACCAGCTGACCACATCACTCATCGCACTCCAGCTCACCACACCGCCCATCATACACCAGCTCACCACACCACTAATCATACACCAGCTCAACACATCACTCACCAAACACCAGTTCACCACACCACTCATCACACAACAGCTCATCACATCAGTCACCAGACACCAGCTCACAACACCCCGCGTCATACACCAACTCACTACATCACACCACTCACCAGACACTACCTCACCAAACCACTCTCCAGATGCTATCTCACCGCAATACTTATCATACACCAGTTCATCCCACCATTCAACGCATTTACCACGGTCTCAGCCTATCATCACCAGACTCCCGCTCACTACGCTCCTCACCAATCACCTACTCATCACACCGCTCTTAAAACTCTCACTCATCCTACAACTCACCACTCTCCCACTCATCCTATTGCTCACCCCGCACTCGCCAGCCACATCCACCTACCCCTACTACTTGCCAGGCACCAGACACCCATGCACCCCAACACTCACCAGAGAGCAGGACTGGCACAAGCAGGAAAACAATGACGTAGAGCAGCTGGAGCAGCGGGTGTAGCCGCCGGCGCGGCGCGGCGCCGCCGAAGCTCCGCGACTCCAGCGCTGCCGGCACGGGCGGCAGCGTCACATCGGGCCGCGCGCGCCCCAATCGGCCAACTTGAGCGGCCGCCGACGGCGACGATGGCGACGACCCCCACTTAATGTCGGCTGGCGGCCGCTTGGCGACTGAAGATGCAAGTTTGCGGGGGAATCGGCGGCGCGGCTGAACGCGACAGGCCGCGGCGAAAGGGCGAAGACGCAGTTAATAACACCTGATCGGCCATGAGCCGCTAAACGGAGGTCATTCGCCATGCGAAGAAATTTATGCCGTCCCAGATTCCATTTCCGGAGCGCCAATATCCCCGGAGAGGTGTAATTTCGAGCTTGCTGGACTCCAAGACATGCCTCTCGTGTGGATTTATCCGCGCAGGGCGGCTACCTTCCGGTGGAGTTTGGATGGGTATTGCTCGCGCGAGGTCACTACGGGCGGTTGCGTGCGGGCGATGTCCATTACACGACAGTCTGCCGTGCATTCGACGCCCTCGAGCCTTAGCACAGGCATCATAAAGCCGGTTCGACACATGTGAATTTCTCAAAGTCGGGCTCCGTTACAATTAGACTCATAAGGTTGATTATACAGCCTGGCACGTATCGGCATAAAGGGCCTCGTATGCCCGCTCCGCACGCTCCTCGAACACCTAGTGTTCCCTTACAACTTCCTAACTCCGTCATTCGTTCCACGCAATGCCGTTGTTAGGGTCCGGAGGCGAAATATGAACGTAACAAACCGGCCAGCTGTGGACCAATTCGTTCTGGACAAGACGCGGCGTGGGAAATTTGTGTCCCGAGTAATATTGGCACAGACGGAAGATGCACGCGACCGCATTGGTATCGTTCGCGTTTCTTTGCCTTAGCGTTCAGTGGCGTCCAGTTTTGCGAACAGCCGTAGAATGGGTGCATCCCTTTCGCTGGGGATCTTTTGCCAGAGAGTAATTCTCAATAACGTCCCACGGGAGAGGTGAAGGTGCAAGAGAAACCTTCGCCATTCAGCTGGTGATGTCTGAATTCCGAATAAAGCTGCTCATGCTGTCGCTGGGTGGCGAGCAAGCATGACAAGCACCTTTCGAACAATTTATTTAGGTCAACCAGTGAATCTGAAGGTTGGACCAGAAAGGTTTATCTTCAGGCACAACGGATTTTTTCTTACGATGCCTAGTACATCCAGGCATGATAATACTCACAACACCTCTTCACTCAGTACTTGGTAATGGGGACAAAAAGTAGGATCATGTTCGGTTTCAGGATCAGTACACTCTCCTATGGACCAGTAGCTAGCCACGCCAAGCGATCAATATGACGTCACGGACACTCGCTCGCTTCAAGGGGCCTGTCCACCTTCGGAAATATCTGATTGTGAATGACTTGATGGGGTGAGCCATTTACTGTGGTCAGTGGGTCGTGAAAATGGGGAGTTGAATAGACCACGTGCGTCGCCTGTTTCCCGAAATCGGGAATGTGTTTCGAATAATCTCACCTCGATCATCGGTAGAGCCTTAAGGATGGTTGGTAGGGCGGGGCTAAACTTTGCAACTGATAAAGGGCAAAAGGTCCGAATTCATAGGAAACCCTAACGTCGCCACATGCCCTCAAATCGATCTCATCAAATGCTCCGCTAGTCCTTGGTCTTTAGCCCATGACAACAGCAAGTACCTGACGTTCCCTATCACCCACACCGCAAAATGGCCTTCAGTATCCCCCGCACAACAAAACACATGGGTTGGCGAATCAGCCAGCATCTCACCTTCCCCCCTGGCGAGTGTGGAGAAGTGGAACATCTCGGAGACGTCGCCCCAGCCGTGCCGGTTGCGGGCCCGCACGTGCAGGTCGTAGGTGGTGGCCGGCCGCAGCTTGGTCAGCGGGATCTGCTGACGGTGCAGCGAGTCGCCGACCACCTCGCTGCCGGTGGGCGGCACCAGCACCTCCCGCCAGCTGGGTGACGTCTCGCCCGACGTGGAGTTAGCCTACCGCGAACGCTTCATGTCATAGACACCAGGGCCTGATTGTAACTTCATATTGCAAGAATGTTGTATCTATCACCCATTAAAACACAAACTAGAATCGGCCTCGCTTTTGTTGCAAGAGATGCCGATTCCAAGAGATTCTTTTGTTGCAAGAGATGCACCCATGGCCCCCTCATCTGCTCTGACAGGCAGGCGCGGAGCTGGTACACAGCGAAGATCCGTTAAACGCAGGCAGATGTCTGTCAATCCGCATGTACCCTATGCTGCTCCCAAACGAAAATGAGGAACCACCACGGCGAGGTGTCCTAAATCCATGTTAAAGTCAATGTGACCCTGCATTCTGGGACGACAGAAGTTAACCGCCATCTCACAAAGACCCTGCCTTCTGCTGTCCGTACACAATCGTGCGGGAGCTCCGACGGGAGCGAGCTGAGGGGCTTCACCAAGGTCTCACAATCCGCCATCCGCATGCGTCCTAGTACTTCGGAACAGAAGCCAAAGACGCACTCAACTTCGACTGCCCGGCAGCGACCTGGTACGCATCTCAGCGCACGAGAGACGACAAGCCGCCACAGCAATGACTCACTTTCCCCTGTCCGTAGGCGACCATGTACTCGAGCACGGGCGAGAAGCTGCGCACCTCCCAGGCCAGCTGATACGAATCTGGCGCCGTACCGATCGGGCTGCTGGTCACCCGAGCACGCGCTGGTGCACCTGCGGGAATGACGCCCCGTCGCACCAGACGGGTTTGCGGCCGGTGGCTTGGCGTACACGCGGGTGATTTTCTGAGGCGTTTAGATAGGACATAACACGCTGCATTTGCTCGTATGCGAATATTTGCTTTGCTGGGGGCGAGCCATGCACAGCATTGTCGTAAGCATGGCGGGACGCGGGGGATCTGGGGCTGTGCCCAAGTTCATCATTAAAATACGGAAATATCGTCTTTTTCACTCATCCCTGCACAGTGCATCGAATTGGCAAACAGCGACTGCAAAGATGAAGGAAATGGAAACCTGCAATGCGTCTTTTTAGAGGGGGGGGGGGGGGCGCTGACCTTTTTCAGAACAGCATGTCGCAGATTGAAAAATGGGCATGCAGTGTAAGTGCGCGAATGAAGTCGAAAACAGCGACGCACCAGTCGCTATCGATTGATTATTCGTCCACCAACGCTTGCGCCGAACGCCTTCGAGAGTAAGTGTCTTGATGTCTAACATGTTTTATAGTCATGTGAGGTAGAGCATTGCGTGCACCAGTCCAGGATGCGTCTCTCGCCTCGAAAACAGGTCATCGTGGACCGGGCGGTGTTCACCAAGGTTTTGTAGGCCTAAACAGTATATCTCCGACAGCGACGGTGGAACAATACCATGATGTCCACCGACGACGTCCAAATTAAGCTGGAGTTTGTTTTCCGCCATGGTGTCACTAGGTACACAAAACCAAACCACAATAATCGAATGTTACTGTTCTTTGCTTGTGCTTGTGTGAGGTAGGGGGTTGGGAGGAGGCTAGTTCTTGTCAGCAAAGACCCGATATATGAGCCCTTCGGTGTTGGCCTATTCAACCCAGTGATGGCCGCTCCTTACGGGTGTTAGCTATGCAATAGGACAAAAATTAAAGTTCGATAATCATGCTATATTGAAACATGCATTCCGAAAAACTTGTCAACGCCAGCAGGCATGTACTAGGAGGACGTCCATATCAGTAGTCTTGATCCCTTGTGTGAAGCCGGGCGCACGTGCCGTGATATACCCGCGGCATCTTCCACGGGACTTCCTCGTCAAGTCGCTTGAATCGTCCGCTGAATGTCGTGGTGCAGCTACGTGTCATTCTGTGCTGCCCAGCCCCCGCCCCCATACACCTATCGTTCCACGGGAACCGAGATGCTCTCGATCTTTTGGTCGCGTTGTGGTGAAAAGGGCCTTAAGTTTATTGATCACACCTAAAGCCGATCGATTTCGGTGTTGTGATCTTGGAGGGCTCTCCACCCCCATTTTTACAGTCTTTCTCATCGCGCCGTTTTGTCGTTCTTACGATGCCTTATGGCTGTGTTCTCCTCCTGTAGCTAACTTGAGCCTGTTTCAGTACTTTGTTGACACACGGTTGACTTACACTCAATATGTGCGCCAGTAAGTGCTGTGACGCGCCGGCCCTGTGTTTTATGGCTTTTCGCTTGGCTTCACTTAGGCTCTTCTATGGGTTTATGACCCTTCATTTTCCTTCCGGCCATTTGAGCCAACGATTTCCACGGAACTATGTTCTTTTTCATGTCTTCTCTTCTTTCAGCTCTTTACGGTACTGTGTGCTGTTGAGCGACGCATTTTATATTCACGCATTTCTTATCCAGTCACGTTTACCAGCCTTGCGTACTTTTATTCTTCTAAATAACGCTTTGAGTTTAGCCAGTTTCATCAAATCCAACTTGTCCAGGTAAAGGGAATGCTCCAAATTTGAAAACATCAAAACAAATATTATAGATGATAAAATAAGCTCACCTATATCTGCTGGTAATCTTTTAAGTGGGAAACACCGCCCTAGACGAGAACATTTCTCTATTCGGTAAATATGCTACTTACGTCGTTGTTTGATTGCGCCATCGTACCTTGCACAACATTGATTGAGAGCCGATTGGGCTGCCGTTTTATCTAGAAATCGTGCTCACGAGCGCCAGGTATGAACAGCTCGACAATTATACTTGTATTGGCCTTGATCGCCGCATGGGCAATGAGATGGACAGAATTTGAATGACGTCATTAAGGCGTCATTGATGCCTGGGTCACCTTGAACAGTCTGCAGGAAAAATCTGCGCATCTTTGCGGGCGTGTACCTCAAAAACTAGAGTGGTTAAGGTCTTTAAAAAAGCAGGGCTAGAAACTGCACCCGAGTGATTTCAAGATTGCTATTTCAGTTGTCTTTCAAAAATCGATGCACATGTGGGGCACTTCCTTTAGACACACATAATAACAGGAACGGCGCCACCACTTGGAACTGTGGGACGACTTTTTCCATAGAGGCCGATTTGCCACAACTGGGTTTAAAAGGGCCGGTAATAGCTGTACCGGAACGAGACAAAACACCCATCTAATGGTCCCCACGGGTTCATAAATGTACGTTCTCAGTCATGTTCACCATCTAACCCATCCCGAATCAACGCCGGCGTCAGTTATTACCCCGCACAAACAAGATTTTTGTTAAAAGTTGGCACCGGGAACACGCACATTCCAAGATGTCGTACCATTCATAAGATATATGGGATGGACAAGAGAAAGCGGATCAAGAGCATAAGCATCACGCGCATTACCGCAAGTGGTTTGACCAAGTGAGACACGCCCAATTCGCTGGGCGACTGTTACGATCATTTTGAGGTGTGCCGACTGTCACTTTGACACTTCTATATCAGCAAATATGTTGTGTTTCATCTCTTGCTGCGTCAAAAACACCTGGAGAAGGAACCCCGGTAGCTCCTCCTCCTCGACATGCCCTTGCTGTTTGTTCTAGACGGTCCACTGTCTGCACTCCTCCCTCTCTCGGCACTCCTCCTCCCGATTCGTCCTCTAGCTGCTGTGCAGCCCCTCCTGCCTCTCCTCCTGCACCGTCCTACATCTGCGAGGCGGCCCCCACTACCTATCCTCCTCCTATACCTTCCTCCATGTAAGGGGCGGCCCATACTCCGGATCCTGCTTTTGCGCCGTCCTCCATCTCTGACGGGGATCGTCCTCCCGCTCTTCCTCCGCAGCCGTCTTTAACATGCGGGGCGGCACTTCCTCCGGGCCCTTTTCGCGTGCTTTTCGTTATCTGTGGGGTGGTCATTTATGCCGCTTCTCCTCCTACACCGTCCTCCCTTCGTGGGATGCACCCCCATCCTGCTCCTTGTTCTGCAGTGTCCTTCATCTGCTAGGCGACTCCTCCTTCTGGTCGTACCACTGCTACTTGTTTTATACGGTCCTTTTCCAGCGGAACTCCTGCTCTTCTTCCTGAAACGTGCTCTATTTGCGGTGCAGCTTCTCCTCCCGTCTCTCTTCCTGTGCTGCCTTCCATCTGTGGGGCGGTCCCTACTCCAGAGCCTCCTCCTGCACCGTCCTCCATCTGCAACACGGATCCTCCTCGCTGTCCTCTTTTTGCGGGCGACCCCTCGCACTGGTCCTCTTCCTACCCCGTCCTCCCTCCGTGGATAGGCCCTCCAATGTTCTTTGTCCTGCAGCGTCTTCCATTTGCGAGGTGACTTCACTCTATCCCCTTTCACTCTATCCCCTTGCGACGTTCTCCACGTTTTATACTAAAAATAATTGCATTTTCTTGAGCCCTATCGTCGCACCATCTGAAACGCATTTTTTACTTCACCTGATTGTCACACAAAAGTCTGGAATGACACGTATTAGTGTCGCCGTGGCGAGAACGAAAGACACTTTGACTTGAGATGCGGTCACTTTGTTGGCTGGCGCGGTCAACACACACATCTTCCCAGTGTTGCTGGTGTCCGGACGCACCGGAATGATGCATGCCGTCGTTACCGTGGCTCAACTCTTCCACCCGCAGAAGAATGAAATGACTTCGAATAAAAAAAACGGTGGTTGTAGGCGTTCAGAGTGCGTGCGTTTACCGACATTTTGTTTCGATTACTTGGCGGCGACAACTGGGCGTTCGATCAATGGCATTTCGACGTCACGGAAAAAAATTATAGCCCCTTGTGCAAACTTGATGTTTGAACGGTTAGGTGCACATGATGATTAAAAAATGGGCGGCAATTAAAGTCAATGAATCCGCGCATGCAGTGACATAAACCTCGGTGCCATCCTGGCGATGGTTTCCGCGACAGTGTGTTGCATTTGACACCACTTTCCCGAATCCCAATATGTTTAACTCGCACGATGATTGCCGGCGCAAGGACACATCACACATCTTTGTGTCAGGTTAATAAATTGCAGACGGTACATGGTTCGACACTTTAAAGTTGGAATGAAGTCTCCACCGGCTCTGGCTGCCGAGATGTGGAATACAACGTGAAAAGAGGTAGAACGCGGGAAAATTTATTTTTGCCGCCGCTGTGCACGTGGCACGTGGCACATGCAGCGTCACACGTAACATGACGCGATTCGCTGTTCAATTCTCTGTCAAAATGTGTTGATTTGACGTCGTTTCGAACCGCGGCTGCAGAGATGAGGCAGCGTTTTCAAACGCCGGCTTGCCGACTTCGACAGGGGTCGTTTTTTGCACCGCCCATGCTAAACCAATTGGAAAAGTGCAATTTCTAACACGCGCCACGCGTTATCCGTGTACCCAACCCGCACGAACTCGCCGTGGCCCGTTGTCACGTGTGCACGGGCGCCGGTCCAATTTGCACTTCTATACGTCACGTCGTTTGATCCACACACGGGGCCAAGCAAAAATACGACACACAGACGGAGGTTACTCAAATAATTATATACCCAACGCTCTTCTCAGCCTCTTCCGACCACATCTAGGCCAAGCATCCCGCATCCATGATATTTGTGGCGATTATCATGTGATATACCTCTCTCAAGTATCGAATGCTTCTGACCTAAATCAGTACAACTCATTCATAATTATCTCTGCATGCTCCATACGCTGATTTCATATAATAATCTGAACGTTGTCTCCCATATGCCTCTCGCCGATACGTACATTCCGTGATGCCGCCCATATCGCGATTTTACGATGTCGTGATACGCTACCTTACACACTTTTGGTGTACGTAACAGATAGTCACAGCATTGAGTCGTCTCTGCGTCCTGGTGCTTCGTTGCCACGTCTTGGTGTATCAATGGGGCTTCACGACGCAATCAGCTGATAAGGTTACCCCGTTTCGCATGCCCTTCAGTCTCACAGGAAGACGGACATCGCAGGGGATTGAGTCCCGTACATCTGGTTTCCCAAATGCAATGCAGCCATATTTTAAGCCGCCGTCGAGCACTGAATCTGCTTGCAGTTTTCCAGCAGTTAAGCAGCTTTCTTCACCGCCTTGAAAGTGCATAGTCTTCAAAGCACCTACAGATAAAGTGACACTCTGTGGTTCGCAGGTCTGCGGAAACAAACTGAGCACCTTTGTAATGTTGTGCTTGTCAGACAAGGCTTTCTGTTTCATCTATTCGGAGCACGTCCGCCTGCTGAGAGCACCCCTGGGGTTCAGTGAACACGGCATCCACGGCGGCCGACTCTCCTTATTGAAGGATGTCTTTGACCATCGCCGGGTGGTGGACACTGCCGCCGCCAGTTATTCGGATGGGCGACTCGCATTCTCAAGGGGGAGCCATTGGGTCCATGTCTGAGAGCCCCACGCTTCCGTAACGGTGCCCGAACGAATTCCACTGTTTCACCCCGTGGAGACCGCAGATGTTCCCTGGTCATCTTCACGAATTCCGACGATCTCGAGATGCGCAGCTGGAGGCCCTCAGCTGCTCATTCAATCGATCCGTGGTCTCAGAAGCCGCCGATTACAAATTATGTCTGGTTGGGATTCATGGTATGCAGTTACTTTATGATTGCTGAATCAGCCTATTTGTTTCATTTGACCGCTGAATAGATCGACTGAAGTATAATTAATCATGCTGGATTGGGGCGAAGTCACGACGGAGACTAGAGCCAGGGTGAAGTTCAGGTTAACCCGCACCTGGCTGGGGGGGGGGGGGGGGGGGGGGGGAGAAGTTGACTTCCTCTCCTATGGTTTTTCAAGCACAAATAAAAATGAACGCTTGCAGCAACACACAATTTTCACCTCCTGTTCATCTATTGATTTGGCATCCTTTGAGCGAAACTTAAAATTTTGATCTACCAAGATCAGTGACATAGGTGAGATCAAAGAGGTCAATCTCTAGAAGACTTTGACCACAAATAAGTTTTTGTGGGACGTTTACCATAGCTCAAAATTGTTATAGTAAAAGAAAATGGTCGCACTCATAGTTTGCATATTCCAACTTTTTCCGCACTTTACTATAATATACTGCACAAAATGTACAAAAGTTGCGCATTGCAGCACACATGACCTTGGCCCAGGTCATGGCCTGCCTCTATGGATACCCTCTGCAAAGCACATGCCGGGCTCAAAACAGGCAGTTCTGGTAGGTACTTTTGACGTCGTTTTCGAACACTGTACTGAAAGCTTGTTGTGATATTCTAGTGCACAATGAGGTCACACCATGTTATATGAAGATATGCGAGGGTATATGAAGTAATCCACGCTCAATGACCCTTGTTGTCGGTAGCGGAGAAACAGATGAACAAGTACGAAGCGTGTAGCCACTTCTTGCCGTGATTGTAAAGCTAATGACGTCTGATTTCACGTACGAACATACCCGTTCTCAGTATGTTACATATACATTGCCAAGCGTCGAAGGAACTACGTATAAGGTAAAAAAAAACAGGTATGCGACCCTGAGGACCTGCCAACGTACAATACACTAATTCTGACAATAGAAACCATTGTGCAGGCCTACATAGACCCGGTAAGCTACGTTATTTCTGATCTGGATGGCTTATAAATATGACCTAAGCTGATCTCAGACAACCTCTTCGTCACCCTAAAATGGTACATTTTTGTGTCTGGAATGCTTTTGTTCCGCAGCTGCATCCAATAAGAACTTAAAACCACCTTGCATAAAAAAGTATCGTTCTTGTAGGCTTTTTGAAGGACGACCAGCTCTTTTGAACGGTGACCTGATATGACCCGAACCATTTGGGGACCAGAAATGATCTGAATGGGCTCCCCACAGTCTTAATGCTTATTTATGTACCCGCAATATCCGTCTTGGCGCGTTGACATACGTTTTAACTGCATCTATCAGAAGGGCCGTTTTTGACCTTTCGTGATCTCTGGCGACCTCACACTTGGCCTAATGTGAAACATTAAGTGTGCATTATTCATGATTTGATGGGACCCTCAAACGGCTTCTTCGGTTTTTCTATACGGCGTCTAGGAGTTGGAGATCCCAGGAGAGAAAATAAACTTCTTCCCGGCCGTCCAAGACCCCCGGCCGCTGTCTCAGACCCCTCGCCGCACGCGGATTAACTTCTAATGATGATTTATGAAGATGTCATTTAGAAATTCGCTTGTCAACGCTTTTTCCCAACGCTGGGGTGTTGAGTGGGTACATGCATAATCATTCCTTCGGCATGTGACAACGCACGAGCTTGCACGTCTTCCGCAGCGACGTTAAGTGACCCGAAATGCTCCCAAATGAAATCAGATTAAAGAGTAAATGTGGTGTCGTCGCGCGTGACCGGAGACTTGAGTGCTCATACCCTTAGTTTATAGACATCCTGACAATCACACTTATGGTACCTAATTCCCCTCCTCACCCCCCCCCTTAAGCCTGCGTCAAAGCAAAAACTGCGCAAAATACCAAGCTAAAAAGGGACCAACTGGCAAAAACAAAGACAAAGACAACACGTTCGCAACAAAACGGTGCTACTGCTTGCTACATGTGTAACCCAAGACTTCTTTTGCCTGTGTAGCCAAACTAACCTTTTAAAACCCTATGCCGGCTTACCTGACAGGACGATTGGACCGCTGGCGTTCCCCAAAAAGCTGAGGGCCTGGCACAAGTACGTGCCGAAATCCGCCATGCGAACAGGTCGGATTGTCAGCACGTGCCTCGTTCCTCCGAGCACCTCTTCTGAGGGCCTGTGGCGTGACGGATGAAGATATCCATCCTCTCGGATCCAACGGACCTGTAACGATCGCTCTAGTTTATGCTTGGGCCTTACATCATGTTAGGCCCATGAATGCCATGATTAGGCCGCCCAAATGAAGCGTGCCATCGTTTGCTGATAGGACAGTCCGCCGGAACAGGATCTGGCGGGCGGCATCATTCCTTTGTCAAGGTAATTTGATTGCTGACAAAAACAGTGTCCCGAGAAAAAATGACGCGTACAATGGATTTGGCATTACAAACGCTAAACCAATGTAGGAAACAAACTATTCGGGAGTCCTCCGTGAATTACGTTACGCATGGAAGGGAATGGGAAGACGGGGGATGGGGCGCAACCAAAACGTAACAAGGGTGCGCATGTGCGTAAAATCTGTGTAAAGCAGTCTTTTAAAACCATCAATCTGGATACTGTTGGCTTCCTCGAATGAAGAGCAGCCCGTCCGATGACGTTATCTCGCACCTCTTCCTCAGAGGCTAAATAGACGCTACCTTTTTGGGACGCAGTGCTCAACACAGCGTGACCCGGGAAGAGAGTATCGCCAGCGTAACCAGAATGTCACGATTGGGGAGGGAAGTAGAAACTGCCCCAAAACGCATAAAATAATTTATGGACGACCCCTGATATTCGGCAAGCTTGGATGACAACGTGATAACGCCGAACATTACGATGCACTTGATCATGCATGATTAGATCGTGCTGCCATGTCCGAATATGACATATGACCTGGGCGAATCAGCTTAATAACCTTATCAGGTTATGAATATAATTTCTTCTTTTAAGTCATCGATCACTTAGTTATTTTTGATGCCGTTTCAGTTAGTGAGTTTCGCATGAACTTATTGTAGTGATGATGACATACTACACTTTGCTATCTACACCCCTACCTTTTCAGCGTGCTAGCATTTTCTAAAATGAATGCATCAGATACAACGCATTTATCACGGTAAAACAGCTCAAAATGTTAATTTCGTGTAATTAGATGGCTTCTTTTTATCTACCCATCACCCATCAACAGGTGACCAGGAGTGCCACCCCTGTTCACCGCGGCACACAGAGCCTCACGTTAATACGGGCATAAGTCACCGAAACGTTGAATGCCGCGGCACTCGCAGCTGAGCAATAAGAGGCCTAACAAACACAACAAGAAGTCAAACCTGGCCAAAGGGATGAGAAATGTGTGACTGATGATGTCATGATTGAATTGACTAGTAAGAAACAATTAAAAATAGCCAGTTTCAAGGAGAACACCCGGCGGACCGCTGATGCCATCACGTAATTAGTGGGGTATTGCAAAACAATGCCAGATAAACAACAATGTAACAATAATGCAAGCAACAATGCCCTGGCTTTGTTGCTTGTATCCCGTCACTTACACCACGCGCCAATTGAGCAAGTCTGTTAGAGGGTGCCAGAGATGCCGGCGTAGTCAGCCAGGGTGGCGTCGTTATGGGTTTGCGGACGACAAGGTGCCAGTGGCACGCGCCAGCACGAGGGCCCATACAAACCTACGTCACACACGAAATCTCTTTATCTTTCCGTTTCCTCCGCCCCCCCCCCCCCCCCCCCCCTCCTCTCTCTCTCTCCTCTCTCTCTCTCTCTCTCTCTCTCTCTCTCCTCTCTCTCTCTCTCTCTCTCTCTCTCTCTCTCTCTCTCTCTCTCTCTCTCTCTCTCTCTCTCGCCTCTCCCTCACACACACACGTACACATACAACAAATATAACGTTCGCATATAGACACAAGCACACGCACACGCACACGTAGACGCACACGCGCACGCACCTGCACACACCTATATAACCGACCACTCACTTTTTAAAAAATGGTTTGTGCCGTGCGCGTGGCAGTACCCCATTGCCACTGCATTGACAGCAACAACCCTATTGCATGAAATTACATTACACATAATTAAGTGAGTACTCTGGTTAAGCCCGAACAGAAGGCAAATGTTAGGACAGCGGAGCTTACCCACCTAGTGCCAGTGAGGTAGCACCAGTCAATACACCAGTTATCTTGTGATGGAGCTTATTTGAATAAACGTGTTTCCACTTTGCGCAGGTGGAAATGTTCAATGGTAAGTCAACGCACTGATTGGAACGCATAGCTTTATATTTGGACATTGCATACCCATCATGATCAGGAGGGTGAGAGCAAAGGGCGGTAAAAGGGACAACCGTCCCTACATCTAAAAAATTGCCAACCGCCGACAGCGACAGGTCAGGCTTTACACCCACAGATAAGGTACGAATTGCGTGCCCATAGTCTCCTCAGACGACACGCCATCACTGGGCTATGATTTCTATGTTAAATGCAAATTTTTGCTGCAAAGAAACGGAAATATGTGAGGATATGAAATTGCCATCGTACGCGCATAATGCAACATAACATGGTACAAAGAAGATACTAAATATTACACAATTCAAGGGAATCCTGAGCTTTATTGAACATCCTTGACGTGTGTTTTTTCGTGACTAAGGACCTCTGGGCAGAGGAACACCGATTGATGACAGGATGAGCAACAATTGCGTACGTCTAATCAAGACCATCACCGAAAGTATACGTCAACATACACAATTAATAAAAGGCATCAATTTCTTGCATCTGTCGCACGCAAATTCCATACCTGAGTGAGCACTACGTCTACAATTGAGCCTGAAGGTATCGTAATGGAAAGCATGGAAATTTATTGGTGCGATACTTAATGCAATGTCTCATAACAGTGTCTCATGCAACCGGTTCGTTACCATGTATGATATGATAAAAAGAGTATAGCGCAAGCAAGCTGTCGTGAGATATAACAAGTGCCAGTTTAAAAATCACTTACGCTATTCAGTGCGTTCGCGAGGAACATTATACGCTACATTGTTCCATTTCGGCTGCATGCTTTCATCGCAAAGAAAATCAGTAGTAAATTCAAAGTTGCCTGCCGTTTCTACACGATATTTCAGGATTTTTATGCAATTTTGAAGTTACAAGTGATATTGGTTCCGATAAAGATGTGCAGCCGAAATATCCACGCATCTGTCTCTCCATTCTCCTGGTTATGCTACGACAAACAAGGCTATCAATGCTGTTTACCTAGTCTTAAAAATGGTGATTTTTGCGAACGCATGTCGGCTTGGACGCTTCAAATTCAAGATGCTTCGAAATTATTCGTAGCCCAACCGAGTTTGCTAATGCCATTTTCGAAGGCAAAAACCACACGAATTGCCGTCTGGAAAAAAATCTAGCTCACCTTAAAAAATTATAACAAAAACATAGCATTAAGGAAATGTTCCAACTTTAGATGAAGTTTTGAACTGAAACAGCTATCTTGAGGATCTTTTCATGCAGTTCACGGCCATGCCCTTTTTAAGATCCAAAGCCCTTCGGTTTTTGAGTTATACGCCCGCAAAAGTGGCAAAAGGTTTATTGAGGGACTACTTCAAAGCCACCTCCGCAATCATGATGCCATAGAGACGTCATACGATCGCCGTGATATTACAGGCCGTTTTCTGCTTGTGGTAATAAAGCATGGCTTCTGGCACACTCGCAAAGCGATGATGCGGTACATATGATACAATCCGCGGAAGGTAATTGGCTGTTAGAAAGATTTCGCTGCTGAATGCGTGTCGCAAATGTAAGCGTGAGCACTTTCGGGTTGTGCAGCACTCGTCGTCAACGGGGCGTTTTTCCTTATATCTAGGCCATGGGCCAAAGTTATAAAAAAAGAGCGCCGCTGTCTGCAAAAAAGTACGACACCGAAACAAGAAATGACGCTCTCCCGGATGTTGTAAAAAGAACACGCAACGACAACTCTGTCTTTTTCCTCCTGCTGGCGTTTTTTCTTCTACTCACATATTGCTTAGCCAGCTCGGTTGGCGCCTTGTGCGCCGAAGCAAAGGATCTTGCGTGGGCTTATGGGTTAGCAAGGCGTGACAAAATTAGGGAAACATTACAGAAACTTCAAATATATATTTTACAAAATATTTAACACATATTGTACGACAAATTTGAATATTGAAGAAAACAATGTGTCCCTCAAGTATAACCTCTTGAGCTGCATTATCGTGAACCGCCCTTGGGACCTTGTTTGGAAGGGAGCTCACGGTGAAATGCGGTGTTATGACCGGAAACCTGTGCGGAAATGGTGAGAAAACCTGCAATTTGGTAGTTTCGCGAGCTGTGAAAGTGTGGAATCTGCGTGAAAGTGTGGAATCTGAAAGTCAGATGCGGACTTAATACAAGAACGCACTCTTGACCCATATTTTCATGGTGAAACATAGTATAAAGGCGGCAGGGATTGCAGTACAGAAGCCATGTCATTGTTCATGCCATGTCACAGTACAGCACTGAGGTAGTGCCACAATGACGCTGTTGACCCATGACATTATACGATGCGCCACATTGGTTGACTACTCCATGTCAAGCCTATGAGATAACAGCTTATGATTTATGAATGACTGGTAACAACTGATTTAACAACGCCAAAAAACTATCACCAGCGAGAAGGCTGTCGCACCACAATGGTTAAATCAGGGTTAACAAGTAATTGCATGAATAATCCCAGGCAAGAAAAACCTTATCGGCTGCTCGGCCTTACCACCTTTACAATAGCAAAAACAATGCTTTGGCAATCAATTCATAGCAATGATACAGATTTAGCAATTTTTACGTGCACCTGCATTTCCAGTTACAAATAATAAAGAAAGTAACTGCTGTGCACATCACATCAATGTCAGGACTGCAGCACTGCAGGCAAGGATAAGTCCACAATACAGTATCGATATCCTCAACAGTCCTTGGCAGGTTTCGGTAAGAGATTCATGCCATTACAGTACAGTTTTCACAGGATATCGTGCTTTGATATTAATACCTTGATATTAAACCTACCAACAGTCCTTGACAGGTTTCAATAATAGATTTATGACATTATAGAACAGTTTTCACAGCATACCGTGCGTTAACATTAATAATCTGGCATAAAAGCTGGCGATCGCTTCGCTGCGTATGCCAAACGGTCCACCACAGCTTTTCTAACGACCAGTACCGAGTCAAAAAATTTACAAACAAACCATCCACTTATCCGCCACCCGACACAGAGCCCACGACAAGAATGGCCGACCGGCGCCAACTTTCGTGCGTTTCGAGGTGTCCTTTACGTCTGGCTGCCAGATGCTGCCAGGTGTGGCTGTCGTCACAAAACCATTCCATGACAATGATGTATTGCCTTTGTGTATGTGTGTCTAGTGATGTATTGCCATCAAACAATGATGTAATGGGGCGCATTTTCACAACTTGGAAATTTTGCTATTTGGGGTCGTTTTTGAACCTTGAAAGCTTACCAATAGTTGCCAGTAAGCTTTTCTCATCACGTCTGATGCTTATCTCAATATCTTCAAATGTGGAACATTCCCTTTAGTAAAGCCACAGGACTACTCTCGGATACGAATGAGCTAGTTCTGCCTCATTTGGTCGAATCTTGCTAGAAGCGAAGGAATGTTTTGTTCCTTCAAGGGGTGCGAAATGCAGTTTTCGAGCACCTCAAACATAACATGAGTTAAGAAACCTAGTCAAAGTTGTGGCCTGCAAAGGCTTTCATCACAATCGGAATTAATTCGCCGGCGAAACAAAGGCAAGTAGGCGTCTTCATATTACGCCAAGCCTTGGACCAGCGAGTGCAGCGCTCGCAGACAATAGCCACCGTCGCGGGGCAACAGTGGTCAAATCTGGTAGGTTGGCACCAAACCAGTGCGCAGTGCAATGCATGCATGATGACTGGTTTTATCGTTTTCAGCGTTTCAAAACTCCCCTCGACGTGCCATGAAAACGTGCATGCTAAACGTCCCAGACAAGCCAGGGGATCTGAACAAAATGTGAGCCTCGCAGAACGGCTTAGGCTACGGAATGATATGAACCGACATCCCCAATAATCGGCTCATACAGCATCATTTTGTAAACAATATGTCACGCGCTCACCTCCGCAGGAGGGTCCGCAAACACAAAGCAGACCAACTTCGCCTCGGACCCTTCACCCGTGTGAACGATGCTGTGCTCGACCTCCACCTCGGGCGGGTCTGAGAAACACACAACCAGCGTCACACAGCCTCTCCGCGCGCCACGGAGCCGTCACGGGAGCCTCTCTCCGCGCGCCACGGAGCCGTCACGGGAGCCATCACATCCGCGACGTTGCGGGGCGGGGCCAATAGTTTTCACTTGACGCGGGCTCAGCCAACACGCGTTTGGTACATGCAGTGCTCACGGTACCGCGAGGATATCTGGGGCGACGAGCAGAAAGTTAACTTGACTTCACAGTCAATCAAAGCTCAGATATGTGTGGGGAACTAAGAGATATTTCAAGAAAAAGACCAGATTACGCAAGGAAAACATCTTCTTTCCTATGGTGGCATGGCGATTGGCCTCGGTGTCCCCGAGAATTCAGCATTCATGTGAAGCAAACAATAGCATGATATTTATTGGAGCGTAATGCGTGAAATGGTGTGAAGAAAAAAGCGTTCACGTCCATCCAGATTCATCACACTGCTTGGATTAACAAAAAACTTGGCTTCGTTAATTTAAAATGCGTTTTGTAAAAGTTCAGTTAAAGTATCGCATTTCGGCCAATGGACGGGCTTGTTTTTGCGGTAGATTTGTTCAGGACTTCGAAAATCAGGACCCGCTCTGATCTGAATGACATTTAAATTCAATACAATTACGTCAAAACTTCAATGATTTGTCACCGAAAACATAACGATGAGAGCCCCGACATCAAGGCGAATATTCAAAGTATGTGTACTCAGCGTGTATGGTGTTAGTCTATGCGAATTCATTAAAAAGCAAAGGAGAGGTCTTCGTGGGCATGCCGATGACATGAAAACCGTCCGAGCAAATTGAGTAAGCCGTCTTTGCAGAACGGAATCACGTAGATACATAATCACATGACAGGCGAGCTACATAGCTATTTGAAGCACGAAATCTGTTGAGAATTTCGACGTTGCTGACGATCTTCGCGTCACCCAGACGATGACGTCACAGAGGACTAGAGATGGTTATGTTGAGAAGGTTTCGAGGCCTCAAGAATGGGAGCACCTGTAGGTAGTATCCGTACGTACCCCCATTAAGTGCCCAGCTGGCTGAACAGTGTGCGCTTGAAATGATATTTCAAAAAGACCAGAATGTTTCACGGGGCGTCTTTGTTGTTGACACGCGGTTTCGCTGACCCGTTTGACGTTATTACGCATGATGCCCACTAGAGTCAATGCTGCCTGCGGAGGCATTACAGTGGGAGATTGTGATGCATACTTACACTGGACCTGGAGGCTGACTGTGCCCACGCCGGGTTTGCGAAGGCCGTTTTGAGCGACGCACTCGTACACTCCCGCCATCTGTCGGGTGACCTCGGCGACCGTGTACCGGCTGCCCGGGTGCTGAGCCTCTCCCGACGGCAGCAGACCGACCTAGATCCGACGGCAGAGCACGTAGCATAAGCCTAGTCAGCGGATGGGAATGCGCGGAGAAACGGCGGAGCTTTCGACGCTCCGCGCGCTATTGCACCAGCGCTGACGCTGCGAAATGCGAGGAGCCTGGAGCATGTGGCAGATCAATTCGGGGATGATTTTCCATTCCGGACGGTGCAGCGGCTGCTGGGAGTATCGCGCGGCGCTAGACCGATATCTGAAAGTGATCTGAATCTTATAAGGCACAAGCCTCGCCGTCTGGGTGCGAAGCTCTTCTCATCGCGCGCTCGTAGATAATGGATCTATGAGCTGCATGATTACCGTGCAGAGGAATGTGCAGAAGGGTTAGCAGATGATGAAACAGGACCAGATTCAAGTCGATGGCAGATAGACTGCACGCAGGCGATCCTGTTTTTGCGGTCTATTAACTGCACATATCGGTATGAACGGCGGAGAAATGTTTACAGCGGTGTAAACACATGATGAACACGCACCCGAAGTCAGTGCCAGCTGGACCACATGCAGGGGGTGTTGGGTTGAACTGTGGCTGGTCAACTGAACACAAGCGCCGTCCCTTTCATGTTTGTCACGCATGGCACATGAGATAACATATTTGTTAATAACGTGAAGGAAGTTAAAAGTATTTCGATACTACAGGTGCATTGGTTGTCTTTACATTTGATATCCGGCCTATTTAAGGGTGACGTAGAACGAGCTGGAGGACGTGGAATAAGCCAACAATCATAGACTAAACATTACATGAGTTATTCTTCCAGTGAACAAAACCTGCCTGGCTGCATACCAGCCTTTTCGAGTTTCCCGTCCAGGAACGCAAGAAGATAGTCCTATGTCGCCCTCCTGAGTCGCTGTTGACAATGACCATATCTAAACAGATATCTGTTCAGGACTACTTCTGACGAATGTTGACGTCAGCAAATGGATAGCTGCCCTTTTGTTCGAATCTGTCGATACTCTGAGCCCTAACTGCCTTAAAATTGCGTCCACCGACCGTATTTGTCAGCGCGTATAACTGCTTTGTCCCTGAGTGCCCCGACCTCTCAAATGGTTCGGCGTGGGCGCAGAAGACAAATCGCCTTTACGATCCCCGTCAAACGTGTCCCACAGTGGAGCACCATTGTACCGTCATCCATTCTCTCACCATCCAGCGAGCAGCAGCCTAAAAATGCCGACAATTCTCCTGAAATCGCGTGGGCTCCACATGGTAATTCGCAGTATGATAGCGGCTTCATATGCAAATGTCAGCCATAGAGGGGTGGGGCGTCGCTGTCTTCTGGATGCGGCGGAGCGAATCTGGCCGTGACAGTGTCGTATAGCTGCGAGCTGTTCAGGTCCGATGCATTGCGCAATGCTGCGTATGTTTTGTCGTGCATTTTATAAGGGTACGGGCCAGCGGGCAGCGCTAGCAGCCCACGTCTGGTGGCTTCATTGCTTGCCCTATGTTTTTGCACTTGCACGCTATCATCACGCAGATTATTTATGGACTGGTTCAATGCCGGTTATTGGTCCAGCACCAACAGACCAAATGCCATATCATTTACGAGTTTACTGAAACATCATACTAGCCTATCCACGTATTTGGCGTGAACGTGTGTCCGCCTACAAGCTATTGTCTTTAAGTGTTTTGTTCGAGTGCAGCTGGCGAATACCTCCCCCTCTTCCAGCGTCGAATACCGCGCCCGTGTAGACCAAAATGTGTCCCAATTATTTTGCCCACCAAACACCTTGAAAACAATGGCATTGTCATCGTGCACAAGTACACGTCTCAATCAAGCAAGACCCTTCGCACGTTCGGCAGCTGATTTTGCCGGTCTTCGCCTGCTTACTCCCGCACACGGGGCGTTGCAAGTAACCACCGACTGACCTGTTTCCGCCAGAACATGGAAGGCTTGGGATTGCCGGCCGCTGAGCACTCGAAGTGCGCCTCCTTGCCTCGCTCCAGCACCAGCACGCCGCTGGAGGGTCGCGTCGTTACCACGGGCCCATCTGAAAACGGCGCCAAAACGGCCGGCGGGAACCCGCTTTACGACAAGGCCGGCGCGCGGCGGGCGCCCGTCGCCAGCCCGCCTTTTCATGGTGCCCATATCGTGCGCACAGCCACCGCCGGCCCGCTCCGGGTCGCGTAACGACCGGGCTGGCGGACAGCTCGGCAGCACGTACGCTCGAACCGGCATGGCAACGCTCGAGCGCGGAGAGGTTCGTTTAGAGCTCATTGCGCGGAGCCGAGGGCAAGTAGGCATACAACTGCAGTTCGTGGGCTTGTTGGTGCAGCGCGCGAGTCAATATATGCCTGTTTCCGAGCAATCTTCCTTTGTTACGTTCTTACGTTGCGGCTAACGGAGACCACGGATCAATGTTGAGCCCGAGAGGCACTGCAGAGGCGCTGCGACCTGCGTCATATGCCAGCTCAGGGAAGATCTCGATGTAGCTCGGCTCTACGATGGCATGCGCTCCTGATCACTGGCCAGACGAGCAGGTGATCTCGGTCACTATGTGAAGCTCGTCACGGCTCGCCGTGTGCCGCTTCGGCTACTCACAGAGCACCACCAGGCGGTGAGTGAGCTCGGTCAGCGGCTCGGTGTCGATGGAGCACGTGTAGGACGACTGGTCGCTGGGCCGGACGCCGGCTATCCTCAGGTTGTAGCCCTCCACCAGGCTGTAGCGCGTGTCTCGCGCCACAATCGCCTCGCGCGCGCTGATCACCCGCCGGTCCTTCTTCCACACCACTATGTATGGACCTGTCACGGGCAGCCAGTCAAGTGGGGTTTTCCACTAGTTCCACTGTTTTCCACTAGTTTGGTATGTTTACTTGTTGTCGAATGACTGCCAGGTTTCATCATGATGTGAAATGCATTCGATGATTCTTGGAAACGTAACTATTCCGCACATGCACTTTTACTGCCGCTAATCATGGCCCATGCGATCAGCTCCAATGGCCAGAAAATCGCTAAATGACACCGTTTTACGTTAATAAATGACATAAATGCGTCGAAAGCTCTTCGAGTCACCCCTCGTAGACCATAAAATGGCACCCAGCGAGCGAGAATTCCTGCTGTAAAATCGCAATAAAGTTTTCAGCGCCGCATCTCATTTCCGAAATCGGAATTTGTGCGTGCATAAAGAAACTGCTCAGGCACTCATTCATTTTACTACACGCACGTCAATAGCGCTGGGCGTAACATGAAGCATCTCAAATCTGTAGAGAGACAATAACTTATGTAAAAGAGTGTTCCACAGTTGTTTGGGGTTTTGAACTGGAATACCCAATTTGAAGATGATCCGATACAGTTCACTGTTCTGCCCTTCTTAAGGGCTAAAACCCTCTAGTATTTGAGGTATACGCCCCCCAAAATTAACGAATTTTTAGCGCAGACTATTTCAAGACCATACAGGCATATATACACCATAGAAACGCCGTTCAAATCCTGCCATCCCATAGGTCATGCGACACCCAGGGCCAAGAAAAATATCGCTGAAACGTTCAGTTCCAGCGTCCGTGAGCACAGTTTTCAATTTTGTAGGCCGTTGATTGTCCTTGGTTAACTTTGAGCGAGCTGTGCGAGCATCATCACGAATCATGCTTTGTACAACATAATATAAGAAAGTGAACAGGATTGTTAGCTATCACGGAAATAGAGCTGGAAATCGAAGAACTTAGTACCGTAACCGAGAATGTCAAAGAAGCAAAAATCTTAAACTCACGGATGAATATGCAAGAACGCCAAGAGAAAGGGCCAAAGCACGAGCAAATAGCGATATTTGGCTCAGCGAACGCCACCAGCATTGCCAGTCATCTCTCGGGGAGCTTGAATTACTACAGGCGAGCGCTAGAGTGGCAATATCGCACAGGTAGTTTGGCAACACTTCAACGCCGTATAAACTTTCCATGACGCAATCGCGCTATGCAGTAATGAGAAGCATATTTACTAAGAAGAGCAATGTTGTTGTCTAGAGTAGTTGTCCAATTAAAAGTATACTAACAGCTATAAGCGGGCTTATTTCATCACATCTGATGCTTGCTTCTTTAGCTTTAGACGTGTAAGGTTCCATTTAAATGGCATATTATAAATTTGAAGATACTTGAGTACACATCAGATATGATGAAATAAGTAACTTATAATTATAGGTATACTTTTTAGCCGGAATGGCTGGTTTAGACAACACATTTATCTATTGAATACATGTGCTTCACAATGCGGCATTGTTTGATTGCGTTATTGAGCCTTGCACAACATTGATTTAGAGCCAATTTACGGCCGTTGCTTTTGGAAATCATGCCCCGAACGCCAGATATGAATGACTGGAGCAGTATATTATATCGGCCTAGTTCGATGCATGGCCAATAACATGGCAGGATTTGAGTGACGCTGATATGGCGTTATGGATTCCTGGGTTACCTTGAAGTAGCCCCCATGAAATACTCTGCACATCTTCGCGGGCGTGTAGCTTCGAAACGAGAGGGTGTTAGGTATGAAGACTGGCAGGGCTATGAACGGCACCGAACGATCTTCAAGGTGGCCATTTCAGTTTAAAACCCCATGCAAGTGTGGAAACTCTCTTTAAGCCACTTCAAGGCTCTCGATCCCCTGTTCCCACACTCATGTAGGAGCGACGGTAAGTTAACGCCATGCGTGACTGTACCCTCTGCTCCCAACGTCATACTTCAGTCTTAAACTGCGCAACTTGACGCTGCGCAGTTATGATCATGGGAAAGACGGGCAGATACAAACGACCGTCACCTCTCGATAACTTGCATTATGTGGATAACCAAGCATTTCGGAAATAATGGAAATCGTGCACATTAATGTGATTGGCATAAGTTTCGTGCTCGCCCCCCAAAATAAATTCGTTGCGAATACACCTGTAGCGTTCCCATTCACCCTTTTTGTTTGCCAACTTAAGATCACTCTCGCTAGACCGTGTTCACTACCTCCAGACGACCTTATCAGGGGTCACGAAAAACTACGGTGCATGCAAGCAACGTAAAATGGATTGCAACTGATGATTTATTTGCTGATGGTGGTTTAAAAAGATGTTCCCAGATCCCGCTAGGTCACTGAGCTGAGCCGTCATCACTCAATACTTGCTGAACAGCTTTTACGACAGACGTTCACTGGTGTTGTTCAATAGCGATAACTGATAATATTGTACAAAAAATTGGCAAATATTGATTATTCCTAAGCACACAGTCGCTCTGTATTAATGGTTTCTTCAATTCCAAAGATGTCGGTAAGTGGGACGTTTTTTCGCGAGAGAAAACGTTCATTTGCTTGGTGCCATGCGCGAAGTCCAGTAACCATTAGCAGCAGTGCCGCAGGGTCACCAAATATCAGGCGGCTCTAATATTTCTTGCTCATTTTGCATGACATGCAAAGTTATGAGACATGTCGCTTAATGGACCTGGGAGTAATGTTTTCTGGATAAGAGCCACGAGAGCTATCGACTTCAGTTCAAATCTATCGGATTCGACGACCAGATTCTTGGATACCAGGGGAAACTTTTGGCCCACCAGGCAGATACGGCTGACAAAACCATGTGTTATGCAGCGGTGAGTGTTTCTGTTTGATGGCGAAAGGAGAATTTGAGCCTATTTTTCAAATAATCTACTTTTGTCATGGAGGCCTCACACTTTTGCAGTCAGCAACGTATGAGGCGACTGTGAATCGTGCAAAACGTACGGATCCAAAGGTCATGTTTGTGGTCACTGTGTCCCCACACTCATATGCATAAAAGCCCTGTGAAACATATCCGGCACATTGTGGTACATGTGGTGTAATAATGTGCTCTCCATTAGCTGTTCCACGCAAGGGCTACCCACAGTCGAACAAAGTGAGCTCGTCCTTGTGCACTAATACAAATCACGACCATGCAGCTGGCATTCAAGCCGATGGCAATATCGCTAAGAGGGCTGATTATGGGGAAGGCGGGCAGATACTAACTACAGCCACCTCCAAATTACCTGCGCTATATGGATGACCGGGCATTTCGGAAGTAATGAAATTGGTGTACATTAATATGATAAGGCCTCTAAAGACTACCTTGAGTGTCCTAAAATGGCTGACTAGTACACGTCATATGCAGACCATACATAAGCTCAACCTACGGCATAGATAGCACGCATGCGATGGTTACATCAATTAAGCATATTGAACTACGAGCAGTTTGTAATGTTTCTTACAAGGTTGTAGTTTCCCAAATGCCCACACTATTTTTACACAGCGAGCATGCCGTTCGGGCATGATGTGGTTGAATGCCAACAAAAATTACATAAGGCAGTTATATCGCATGCTTCTTGTACTCTGGCGTACCGACTCATCCAACATGTCACAAGCGTCCCGCCCGCAACGGGCGGAGAGCAGCCCGGCCGCAGTGAGTACTCGCCTTGGTTTCTGATGACGCAAGGGAGGATGGCATCTTCCCCCTCCCTCAGCTTCAGCAGGCTCGGCTCGGAGACGAAGCCGGGAGGAGAGCCGACCGCGGAGAGCGCAGCTGGGCCGCCGGACACCGGCCCTGAAACAGGCACGGGTCGGCACATGTCAAACAGCTGGGAGCGGAGCCCAGACGGCTGCGGGCGGAGATCAGGCAGGACAGAAATCTGACGTCTGGACAGGGACCGATGGCTGGAGACGGAGACCACGCGACGGCAGGCGGAGACCAGACGAAAGGAAACAGAAAAGAGAAAAGCCTGATCTCCGGAGACGGAGACCAGGCTATAAGAGACGGAGACCAGACGAAAGGAGACGGAGACAACGCGACAGGAGACGGAGACCAGGCGATTGAAGACAGGGATTAGACAGCTGTAGATAGGGGTCAGACAGTTGCAGACAGGAAAAAGACGACCGTGGAAAGGTACTGGAGAGAGGGAAAAGAACCGACCGGACCAGACGGGAATCAGACTGCCAAAGACATACACAAAACAAACGATCTGCATAGTCTGAGACAGCTTATCTGATACAGGAGCATGACAGACTCACACGTACACCGTGCAGCCTGAGACAGCCAATCTCATACAGGGGCATGGCAGACTCATACATACACCATACAGCCTGAGACAGCCAATCTCATAGAGGGGCATAGCAGACTCATACATACTGTGCAACCTATGACAGGGAGAGCACAGCTGAAGAGGAAAAGGGGATCACTTTAAAACGATAATTATGACTCTACACTCTCACATATGACGAAGAGCATTGTAAAGTTGATCTTACTATAGATGTATAATTTACATTTCAACAGAAGCATGTAATGGAGTTTTTTATTCGTCAGACGTCAAAAGGTATGGCTATTTTGGAAGCGTACAAATCGCAGGTGCGGTCGTTTTTGCTCTGTCGGCTTTTCTGGCTCCTTGTGCTCGCCCCATATTTAGTGAGAAACATTGCGTAATAAATTGCTGTACACGTGTTGTTTCTATTTTTGTCACAACGTCTGCCTGGCATCGGAGCTGATAGAACCATACCAAGAGGGCCTCGGAGATAAGTGCGGAAACAAAATCCAGCCGTCGGAAGGCTAAACCGACCGAATAGCTCACGTGCCCTGGTACAATTAATGTGCAGGGATGATACTAAACAGATAGGCATACTTCAGAACAGTTCCGGGTTATGTAGGCTAATCAACTTCTCGGTATTCAAAACTGACACGCACAATGAAGTTAACTGCACAATTACGGAAGGCACACCTTCTCTAGACTTTCTAGACAGAAGACGTAATTATTCTCTACCGCAACAACTATATTGGAGTTGCATGGAGAGATCAGGCATGAGATGCAAAGAAGTCCGATGGCTTTCGATGCTGGCTTTCTTGATACTGTGGGTTATCACATAAATACTGGTTTATTAGATACTGGCTTGTTTCGATTTGGCTCATTCGAACATTAACCTGGGTTGACACGAACTCACTGCAGTTTAGAGAGGTGCATCGTCCTGTGTTATGATAAGATGCAGTAAAGTCGTGCGGTAAGATCATTTGGAACCTACATTTCGCGTCCAACACACGTTATCGGGCGGGGAAATGGCAATGCAATCAGCATGACTGCTGTAGAGGTTGTCGCTCGTGACCGGGAACAGGCAGGACCTGTAACCAGCATGGCCCCTGTAGAGGTTATTAGTCGTCACCTGTAACAGGTAGGACCTGTAATCAGCATCACCCCTGTGGAGGTGATCACATGCTACCTGTAGCAGGCAAGATCTGCATATTTTACAAAACGTGAGCGAAGGTTGCAAACTCTGGTGAGGAAAACTTTGGCATCACGGGCTTGCTCGCTCCGAAGACCATCCTGGAAACCCGCAGGTAGTTTTTGAGGGTCCCAACTTTCGGTAAGGGTTAAATGTCCCAAGTGCCTTGGAAAATGCTTTGTAGACAAGGTGTGGCGGTGATCCAGGAGCGCTGAGCGGCCTAGAAATGTTGAAATACACTTAGCGTTATTGAGACACAAATCAAGCGGCAGGTGACAGCGCGTGCGGAGAGGGTTTTGGCATTTAGCACGGAACACTTATTGATTGTTCAGGATAAACAAGACACTGAAAGGCCAAACTGTTTAAAAACGTACCCCTGGCTCGAGTAATAACAACATTGAGGATTCACCATTGCAGCAGACTTGATGCCCGCGAGCCATACGATTTATTCAATGTTCCAATGACAGATACAATAACAATGGCATATCCAATAACAAATGCCAATGCGCCAACAAATTTCCTCGTCCTTAAGATCCTCGCGAAAATGCATTCATGGGGCTGCTAAATGATCTGAGTTCAGGTGCTCAAATGCTGTTTTAATTTAAGCGACGGTGGCCTAAGTGCAACCCTGTACGTTTTTAATACGCTATTCTTCTAACAGTTGTTAAGTTAACTTCGAGCAATTCTAACAGACAAGTCGTTCGTAACTTATATTAAATATATTAGAGTGCTTCAAAACGCTGCTGGACTTGCACCTGAACCCATTAGAAAGATCTCAAAAACGCTCGCCCCGACATTTTAGCTCTTTTGACGTTTGGATCTTGCACTGCACTGTCCTGACTAGCAAGACAAGACAGCGGTACATCATCTAATTATTCAGATAGGAATGCACCTTTAATGTCAGATCGACATTCACTACTGAGAACCGATTGTTTGCCGCAAGGTTGTTAAGTTGCATGCCGCTCTTATCACGCAAGGCCACACATTTCACGGTCAGTAAGTCATGAGGTCAAAGGGTCAATGGACAAAGAAGAAGAAAGTGACCACTTTATTGGTTCAATGCAAGTTCAGCAGCACGTTATTATTGCATTCCATCGTTGGTCGCGAGTTAAATACCACAAAAGCTAAGCATGCATCATGCAGTGTGACCTGCTACATGTGCCTGACGTTATAAATAAATTGCCGTGGCTTTGACTGAATTAAAATTTTCGCAGGCAGATGCACAGGCAGACCCCAGATAACTATCATAGTTAGTTTTCCTTCAGTGTTTTCCTTCAGTGTTTCCTCCAGTTTCCTTCAGTGGGCACTCGCCTCCTTCAGTATGAAGGAGACGACTGCCCTGTACCGGCGATACAGGGTGGATACCAGACACCAGCCGTCACAGTGGGGGCATGGCCCGTCCGGCTAGACTGCTGGATGATATATCACCACTGAAGTCCCCCAGCAGTCGGGCGGAACGGTAACAAGGCAGTATCTTAACGTTCTTCACTCGAAGGAATTGAGATCTGGGACTTGCTTCTTCTAGGTGCGTAAGTGACATTCCTCGGCCATTCTCTGAACGGCAATCGCCACCAGGTCAACACGGCGTGAACCGCTGCGCACGACACACGTAGTGAAATGGAATGAAAAGGAGCGAGCGTTCGCTTTGTGGAGAATAGTCACGGTGATCTAATCATCATTCTACTCTGCACATAAGCAGTCCGTCCTGTATCAGGGAACGCGCATATCCTTTCTCGACCTAGAGCAGCTGTGTTTGCTGCAATCCCGGTTGGCCGGAATGCGCATCCTCCAAAAATAGTGCTATACAATTTGTTGCAGCACTGTGTTCAGATCGTTTCCCTGCAGGATATTGTTCCAGGGCGAGGGCTTCGATTTATTCAATTCGCCCCAAGCGCATTTAAATGAACTACTTGTGCCATGTTAATTGCTTTGTTAAGGGCTGTTTTATTCAACTTCACACCAGCGTGGCGGAAATCTCCCCGTTCCCGTGGAAATGCGGCTGCGTCTGGCTTGTTTATTGCTCCGAAGATGGTTGCTTTCTTGCAAAACAAAGGATAAAAGCAGTAAACACAAAGCGGAATAGCCCACAAAGTCCCACATTGCCACACTTTACGCAGGCCAATCTGCATGAGCAAGCGGAGACGGGGGGTGCCGAAGAAGAGACCGAGGGCTCCCAAGGACTCCACCTCACATATTTTCAGACACTGATAGCCCACCGTCAGTCCGATGATCATATATCTCATATGGCTGTGTGCTGGCATGGAGCAGAGCCTCGGCGTGGATCAGGTCAGTGTTTGATATACTGCGCCTCCATCAAGATGCCGGTCTCGTCTGCATTTTTCACTTCAGTGGTTGTCTCAATATGACCTCTGGGCGTTGTAATATATAGCGTGCCTCCATAGCAGCACTGATAAAATTTAGAGTCGGTTATTCATGCACCACCTACCAAAAGACTTATCAGCTAGTCATTTGCTCCACCGTTGTGGCTAGAAAAGTTATATTCGGAGGACTATGGCACAAAGGTTACATACAACGATCAGTTCTCGGAAAATGTATGCTCTTCATGCCCTGCGTGTATCAAACAAAAGATCCTACCTGTCAATGAGTACACAGTTCATTTCGCCAGATAGAAGAATGGGAAAATGACTTTGGTGGCTGTTGATCTACTAGCGCATGCTGTGCTCGACATTGGGCTGGGATTCTTGTATACCCTTTGTTTATCTTGTAGACGGGCATAAAGACATGTTGTTGCACTCCTGTTTTGTATCGGCTCCTTACGCAGTGGAAGCCAGACCTGTTCCGTGATTGGATTAAAGCTGACGCTGACATTCGAGGACGTACGGCCTGATGAGCCCCGGGATGTTTCAAAACAACTGGCAGTGCAGTGCTTGCAATGTGGAACATTGCCAGAGTTTCAAAACGCCCGCAGCGCAAAACAACAAGCAAGAACTAGAACGTGCAAGAAACCCACTGACGTTTAGACACACGGCTAGACACAGGCGAACGGCTACTCAGAACGGGGACATAGCCAGGGAGAGGGCGAAAAGGGACATGCTCTTCCCCTTAGCTGGGAGGTTTACGTTAAATGCTGGGCGATTGGCAACTATTCAGCCCAAAGAAGCATGATTTGGCATAATTAACATTTTCTTCCTAGATAAATTTCCCTTCGTGCCTGAGGAGGATGTCTGTCTGCGCGTCTTTGCAGAGCATCCACTTGTAATATACGACTATCAGCTCATTTACACCCAGGAAATTAAATGCAATACCAGCGAATGCAGCACAGGGAGCATCATCCACATCGACAGCACGGAGAGCCACGGCAACCGAGAGACAAGTTGGAGCAAGGACGGTAATTGTTTATCTTAACAGTTAGTTACCCTTTCTGTCATCAACACAACCCTAACTGCTAAAATTAGCTCGCTGGTCCCTAAATCTGATGTCAAAATCTGTGTAGGCTAGCTGCATAAGGGCATATTGAAACTGAATCTGGTGGTACGTTTTTCTAAGTCCTTTTTCTCATTAGCCTTTTCTGCAATGCTGACAGCGCAGGATTAAAATATGAACGCCCATAAATGGGTGTTGTCTACCAGCTTGCATGCAATCCGTGCAATGAAAAGGCAGCGTCATGTCCTGAAAAGGGAGTACTGTAGCTTATTTCATCGGAGCAGCGAAAAGTTTTATCTTTTCTGGCTTTCTCTGAGCAAACGTATTCTGGCCGCCAAAAGCCCTAACTTTGGACACACGTCCAGGAGGCGATTTTGTCGAGCACTATGAGTATGCCATCATTCCTCAAGAGCAAGCTCCAGTGAAGGCTAAGCGATTAGCATCTCGATCGTAAAATTGTTCAGTTTTCAACAGTGTAGCTTCAAACCGATCACGGACGAAGTAATTGTTCGAGCTATCGCCACTATAAGGTGTGTTAGCATGTACACATCGTGTCGACCAGGTATTTCTCCGGTCGTCGTTAGGTGTTATTGAGTTTGAAAAGACCAGGATGGTGCTTGGCTTTCAGTTATGAATGCGTCACAATGCAAAAACTGGATATGATTCCAAAGACAAAGATGACCTAAGACGGCTGCTTCTATCCCCGGTTACCTTTTTGTCTGGAGCGTCGGTATTGGCTGAAACGACTGGGTAATCCCGGAGTTCGCCACCACGCGATACGGTATTTTTCTCCCAGCATTTCAGCACGGCCTGTCTGCTGCTGGCCTACAGTCGATTATCGAGGCGCCAAGCGGACTGAACCCTCTCTAAATCGCTGGATATGAGCGACGGTCAGATGAACGTCATATCAGAAGCCGCAGCCGAACAAAACACAATGTCTGGCCAGGAAAAGAGCTGAAAGATGGGGTGATACGCCGGGCCATAGCAAGCACCGACGTTCAGGCCGAGTGGTGAAATCGACCAGCCAACGATTTGGGCAGCAGCCTCAATTAATTTAATGCACCTGTCCTTAGTTGTCAAATTGTGCCTTGTTTATGTCGGCAGTGCAGATTTTGTAAGACTGAGCCCAATCTGCAAATATTTTTTTCCATTTGCAAGCGATAAAAGGATATCAATTCCAGTTTTCGATCAAATGAATTGCTTCAATTTTGAAAAGGCATGATATTGATTCTGGTACTGGCACTTAACTCGCGCGCGGGTGGGGTCAGTTTGCCCTCCGCCCCGCCCCCCCCCCCCCCCGAAGGCTTTTCCAGGATGGTTTCCAAATAGCGTGGCGTAGGCTGCTCCAAATTCTTCCTTACCTGTAGATTGAATAGCAAATCGTTTGGTATAGGAACATTTGATATAACTTAATAGGTCGCTGAACTGCGATAGGGTCAAAGTCAGGCCGTGGATTCAGCGAAGACAATTTCTAGGGAATCTTTCAATCTAGTGCATAAACGGAGTGTTAGACGAAACCATACACCTCTGAGATAGTGTCACAATGTTTTGCTGCGCTATCTCACTAACTAGTTACATAGCGTAGCAAAACAATTGAATGACCAAAGTCCATTGAACTAGAGTTAGGTATGAAGGTCATACCGAGGTCAAAACCAGCGTGCTTTATTACTCCAGGGCTTACTGTATCAGGCACTTTCCTGTGCTCATCTTGAATTTGCTGATAACGGGGATCGCATAATTTATCTTCCACGGACTTTTAAAGGTCAGGATACGTCACTGACCTAAAATGACACAGGTCAACATTTTGTTTTTAGGAGCATGCGGCCCAACGTAAAATTTGAGGTTTATTCAAGAGGTAAAACTCAAAACATACTGTTATGATTTTGCCGACATGACCTTCCAAAGGTCAAACAAGGTCACTGGCATAAACGCCAGTGACATTTTCTTAGAACAGGTATCTAGGCTCTGGGGCACTTTTGACACCAATCTGGAGTTTGACTTTTTGACATTATTTTGGCCCGAAGATCTTGACCTCGGTATCCCAAATTTCGACACCAGCAAACCTTACATACAGGTCGACACACCCTGTGAATTTGGTGTCTCTAGGTCCCCCAGTTTCTAAATCTCAGAGGGGTCCAAGTGACCCCCACCCGAGCGAAGGGTATTCAACCGGCCACCCTGGCGCATGTTTAAGAAAACTTCAACTATTCATCTCTGAAACAGCAGCCTAAAAGAAACCATTTGGCATGGACGTCACATTTTCACGGCTGAGGCCAACAGTGTGGTTGAGGCACTCTCTCAAAACACTTGGCAGTTGGCCAGCCGTTCAGTCTCCCATATAGAAGTGATTCAATATAGAGGCCATTTAATAATGTCATCACTAGCATTGCAAATCAATGTCACCGCATATCAAACATCGTTGGAAGATATATGTGCCATCTCCAGCAGGTCTTTCCGACCCACCTGGATGACGCCTGATGCCCTACTAGTACACGCTGGTTCGATGTGGCCTTCCAATAACATTGCCTGACCCGGCAGTCAAATCCTGGCTTCGATTTCGGTGCAGGCCTTGGGCGTATTTTGTTTCCAGCTATTTTGTGTGTGTGTCGTTCCATCACTAAAGCTCCCTGTCAGGATGACGTGTCGCCGAGCCATTTTTAGTTTGTTACCAAATTTCTCCGAACCATGGCCGAGTGAGATGAACCATATCAAGTTGCATGCATAATGTATGCACCCTGCGACGCAGTTCGTCAAAGCTCGCATAGCAAAGCTATCACCATCTGCGCCGCACAATCCCTTTTACAGGACGGCGAGCGACAGTTATATGATTTAGGACACAGGCGGTACGAAGCAAGGATCACTCCTATAACCCCAAATGTTACGCGGAATACGGCAGTGCATGCGCGGTGGTTGCGTGCATGACTCTCCCTGCACTGTACGGCAGTAAGGCTGGATAAATGCCCACGCCTCTCTATCGCACAGGCATCAGCAATAGTTTTGGCGTCTGAAATTAAGGAATGGGTTAAGCTGGGCACAGCTGCGATACACATGAAGGCAATGGATGATCACGCACCCACGCACGGTCATTAATGATTTGGGTTTGTCTGCAGCCCATACAGACATGTATATGCATTACACGCACCGCCGAAATGTCCCAAGGGCTGCTTTCCGAAAAACGTTCCGTTCATCCATTCTACACATCCTCTCGCGGATCTTGTTATTGTTCACGAACATCTCTCTGCGTCCTCCCCTTTCACACAGACCAGCAGCAGCCTTCCCGCACACGCGGCGCGGCGCCGTCCACGCATCCTGCCGCCGGCCTCTGCCGTTTCCTCGTCGGAAATCCGGGGACGGGGCCGCGCCGTCGGGTCGATTTGATCCGGGGCGCTCGCCTGCCGGCACTCTCCTGGCCGTCGCGCGCTGGACGCTCCTGGTGGCCGTGACGCGGCCTGTCAGGCCTCACAGGGCCGCCGAATGGGCCGATGTCACTCGTCCCGGGCCAGAGCAGGGAGGGCGGGCATGATACCGCGCCGGCCGTCGGTGGTTACGTGCCCGTTGCGCGGTGGCGATATTTTCCCTCGCCTCGTGGCGGCCGAAATTGCACCGGCTCAACTGTTCATGTGTGCGGTGGGCTGTCACTCACTTGGCTCCGACGTTGTTTTTTTATTTTTGTACGATTGCTTCAGCTTCGCACAAACGTCACCAAAGCAAAACATTTGAGCGTAGGGTGAACCGTGCCGTGCATTGCGCTAGCTTAAACTGTCGCCTCAAAATCATGCCGTCGATCTGGAATACCCCGATCAGATGGAGGGAACAAGGTTCACACCAGCGCCGCTGAGCGTGGACGGTGATCCCAGAAATCCATCCAATCAAAATGTTTCGAGCAAATTTGGAAAAAGCAGCTCACATGGCTTCCAAGAAGCACGCATGAAAGTTCCTGACAAGGGGTCATGTGGTCCTCCCAACTTTGGCTAATGGGTCGCGCTACACGACCGGGCAGCGTTCGAAGTTGTCCATTGGCTCGGCATCATGATCAGTGCCGGCGTTTAGCTTGATCTCGGCAGTCATATCTTCTGAGGCGTGTGTCCGAATGCTTCTTTCCGATGATCTGAATGTATGCATAGGGTGTCAAATTCGTATTATGATGGGTTTATGGCTACATTATATATATATATATATTGTAATTTAGTATAAATTATTTATTATTCATTATATATATATATATATATATATAATGCAATTTAGTGTTTATAATTTATTATTCATTATATATGTGTATATATATATACATATATATATGTATATATATATATATATATATGTATATGTATACATATATATATATATATATATATATTATAGTGTTGACATACTTTCAAACACGCTGTCGATCGGATTGCAGATCGGCAGCGCATTGCGTCAGTAGCGATTATTATTGTGGATTGTCCAAGTCCAGCACAGGGAATCAGCCTTTTTTGACGTATATGTTGACTACTGCTACTTCAGTGATCTGTGAAAAATTTGCCTGACGTTATTTCCAAAGAATGATTTTTACGAAATGCGGGCACATTGGCTGTTCATTCTTAGGGTACTCTTTGCTGCCAACTGATCGGTCTTTATGTTGTGATATTTCAGCAAGCTGTTGCCTGCAGCATACGCCTCTTCGGAGCCCAGAGTTTCAACGGTGCGCAGCATTGCGCCGTGGTTCAATCTTTCTGGGTCTTGAACCCAGGGCTGTCGTAAGCTACTTATCAATATTTTGCATTCGGCAACAGGGTAATCCGGCTGCCAATGAAGCGTGACGTTGATATCGAATGCCTTTTTACAGATGTGCTGGCGCCTATTTCAACGGATGTTTCATGCCAATGACATTTCCAAGCATTCGAATACTGATCTCGATGTACAATCATCCGTAATTCGATCACGCGGTTCAAGTTGTGATAACATGTCGTCCTAAATGTCTTAAACGTCTTAAACCGCGTCAGGCAGAAACGAGCCCCTGAGAGTGTGCTCCAGTTTCTGCGGAATAATAGCTCAGAGCGTGAACAAAGAAGCACAAACTCCTAGCATACTCTTCCTCGCCCAGTTTGCATGCTGGGCTATATTTTCGCCTAGCTCGCGAGCTCCGGTTGGGTATATCCGATCAGAGAAGACCAAAGACGCCAAAGAGGGTTATGTTGTAAACATTTATACGAGTCTACGTCGCGCGCTATGCTCGTAGCCGCCTGACATCGAGCTCGGGCGGTGGTGTAGAGAGGCAGAGCTTTGATTCGTAAAACCTTTATGACAAGTTGTTGATGTCACCATGTTTACATGCTTCATCGTTTTACTGGGAATTAAAGCTCATACGTTTTTCTATAGACAAATAGCTGGAAGAACGTGTCATTCCGGTAATTTCTGGGAGATTTTGCACATTCCATTTGTTGTAGACGACCACTTACCCCCCCCCCCCCCCCCTCCCCCCAATACCTCTACAACCAATGAACTAATTGAACTAATCTAAATGCCCGCAAAATGCTTCTGGATCTCATAATCGCGGCACATGTCGCTCCCTGTCCTGTAACTTGTTGACCAGGTCACAGATAAAGTCAATCACTCCTGTTGCACTTTTCTTTTAAGATTCGTATTGGTTCAAAATCATTCCAATGATGAGACCAAATGGAATCAATTTATAATACCCAGGGCTTCTGCTACATTTTAGATGCATCTTAAAATATATCGTGATGCCCAAAACTTGCTCAGGTCAGGTTACATGCACTGGTTAAGACGAATTTGTGATTCAAACGCCCGCGTGAACTTCACTGGATTGACTTTGGCACCGCCTCATTTGGAACATGTGTAGACTTGGAGCCCCTATAAAATAATTACCCACCATCGCGGACACAAGGCAGCATAGCACATAAACGCACGCAGAGGAGGACAGTGCGTAGCATCGTATGTGCACCCTGAGGTTATGTCCGATGAAGACGTCTGGCATGGTTGTCTACGCATCGCAAATGCAACGCATGTCATACGGCTTACGTTCACGGGTCAGTTCATGAAACGCCCCCCCCCCCCCCCGCCCTCGCCCCACGTCTGTATTGGATAATCACTAAACAACATCTCAAATTAAAAGGCCCCAGGGGGTGACCTGTGTATTGGGTTCACCTTGCCAAGAGATGACACACACGCTGCGATTTATTAGCCAGGCTGCATTCAGAAACCGTTACATGTGAACTTTAAAAGGTTTTGAAAATGCAAACCGCTTACTGTTACATTCTGTGACATTCTCTTGATGTCACCCAGGATCATACGCAGTTGACTTGACTTACCATGAAATTTGATGGCATTTCATAACGACGTGGCTTCATCAGGAAGGTGCAACCTCAGTGCAGTATCTTCAAAAACGAAAGAGGCTTCGGAACTAATTCTACTACGAGAGATCAGTATATATGAAGTTATATCGACGTAACCTAGAATGGCCACATATTTTAAATAAAATTAGTGGCATCATGATGAATGCTGGAGCTCAAAGGCCAATCTGCGCCACAAAGAAGCATGCACAGAAATGAAACTGGCCTGGAAAGCCAAGTTGTCCTCCCGTAAACTTTCCGACGTCATGTTGAAATTAACACGCGCATGAGTGGCCGACTGAATACCCTTTGCTCGGGTGGCCGGGGGTCAATTTGACTCCCCTCCCCTCCGAAGATATAAAAAATAAGATAGCTAGAGACACCAAATTCACAGGGCAGATTAACCTGTAGCTGAACTCACTCGTATCAAATTTTGTGGTTCCTAGGCCATGACCTTGAAGTCACATAATGTCAAACAAGGTCAAACTCCTGATTGGTGGCTCAAGTGCCCCAAGACCTCCCGCCGTGAAGCTAGATACCTGTTCTACGCAAACGGCCAATGCGATCAGTGACCTTGTTTGACTTTTAAGGGCAAGGTGCCAATTATCTGCGAGATTGCTCCTATTTTGCCGTTCGAATAAGCGTCAGGGATCACGCTCGGTAATGTTTTCCTAGACACGAGATGTTGACCTGGATCACCTCGGGTCAGTGACCTATGCTGACTTTTAAAAAGTGGATGGAACATGCTTGGTGCGGTCCCCGTCATTAACAAATTCGAAATGAGCGCCCAAAATCACCCCATAAACCAAGCTCTCGAGTAAAAAGTAGACTAGTTTTAGCCTCGTTGCGATCTTCATGCCTGATCCTGTGTAAATGGAAGTGGCTGCGAATCGCATTTCAATTGGTTTGTTGCCTAAGATTCTATCTTAGATATACACAGTTTCGTCTACCACTCTGTTGTCGCAATGCATTTAACGATTTCCCAGAAATGCCCTTCGCTGACAGCCATGGCCTGACTTTGACCTGCAATAGGTCAGCGACGTTCCCAGGTCATCTAATTTTTTACATCAAAAGATCTGCCCTTCAATTATCTGCGGCTATGCAAGTTTGACGCGGGCACGCCGTCATAATCCAATGTGTGCATGAAGTGCACACATTCATCGGCACTGGTAATTTGAAATTGATAACACATTTCGCACAGGGAACATGGTGGAAAATTGCATGGGTGCGTTAAACGCTCTTTTCGTCAAAGACTGCTGAATTGCATACTCCCTGAAGATTGCCGTGCGGTTTTTGTCAGGAAATGGTGCAGTTTCGCCGGGACATATCAACGTGCCTTGTAATGTAACGGCAGAATGGCTCCACTTGACTGCGTTCAAAGTGACAAATTAACTACACCACTTTGTCGGTGATAATGGACATCAAATGAGTGTCACCGCTTCACAGTCTACCCGCAGTTAATTGCTGCATTAAATCCAACTGCTACATTGTTTGTAGATGTAAAAGCCGCCATGATCTCGGCGATTGTCAATGCAAATGAGGAAAGAAATGCAAAATTGATAAGGTGCGATGTCAAACGCTATCCTGCTACCGGTTTTGGCTGTAACTCCAGCTTGACCAGAGACAAAACAGTGAGAGCGGGCTAGATGCCTACCAAAGTCCTCAAACGTGATGATCCAGGAAAATGATACTTTCATGATTTTAGTTACTCATACTTGCAACGCGTGTTCGCACCAACATAATTGCCCATTCCGCCACCATACGAGGCTATGACCGTGCTGATGCCGGTCTGAAGTGACGCTGGCGTTCGCTACGGCCATGAAATGAGCGCCCTAGCTCAGGTATTGATGATATGGGTTACGCGTTTCCCGCTGTTTCTCGAAAAGCCATAAACGTTCGGCCCGATAACTATTTGCATCGGCCAACAATCCGATTTGATTGCCTTGCACGTGACCCAGTTGTGATGAAATTGGATGGTAGCCCGAGCTCGATGCCATATGTGGTGCTTTGAGTGAACAGGCCGTGGGCCATTAGGATGTGATCCGGTGCTTGAAGAACCATTCCGGAGAAGTTGTTGTTAAAGTCATTTTCGGTTGTAGTCTATTGAGCATTAAAGACCTGGCGATCAAAGCCGCCCCTGGCATTTCAAGGCAGTTTTCAGGAACGACAGCATAGGCTCTCCACGACACATTGACCCGCTCGCGTATGGCGTTACCAGCTCCGCTATGAACTCAATGTAATTCCCAGCTGGCGGCCTAATACAGCATTGACAAACGCGGCAGACTGAGCCTGCGCTTGGTGGCATGACCTTTTATCGGAAGACGCAACAACCGCAGAGTTCCACTCAACCAGGCTTTGAAGTCCTGCAAATGGCTAGAGAGGAATGACGGTTGGTCTGTCTATCTGTTATCGTGTTTGCGGTTCATTATGGCCGCATGAACCTCACAATCACGTTAACATTGATGTGATTCTTAAATTATTGATAAAGAGTCGTAGCTGCCGAGGTAACCAACACCTGCCAGCTGAGGCTGTTGAGTCGCTGGCGCCCAAATTATCCAGGTGCCAGAAGTTGCTTCGGGAAAAACAGAACATCAAACTTTTTTAAAGCACGCGCGCTAAAATTACCTCGTTCAACCCAAGTAGATGGATGGTAGAAGGCTGTTGAGCGAAATTTTGTTCAGGACCAATCAAGTTTCATTGGAATATGATCTGTGATGAAAACAGGCCGTTTTCATC